AAAAAACCCCGCAACTTCGCTGTGGATGGAAGTCTATTTTTAGAATTCCTGGTTTTCTCTTGGCGGCACCCATATTTCCAGGATTATTTAATACGCTAGCGTTATCATTCGAACTTTCATGATTCGTCATTTTTGTGGAGAAAAAAATATTAAACCAAAAAAATAAATAAAAAATAAACTTTTATCCGGAAGCTTACTATGATTTATCTACAGAAACGAAAGTTTAAAATAGTTTAAACTATCGCCTCTGCCTAACAACTTTATTATTGAGCAGAAATCATAGTAAGCCGCCAGATAAATTCGTTGTCAGGCAGTGCTTGCCTGATAACTTATTCATATATTTTTTTTAGGTGCTGAATATATTTTTAAAAAAATTAAAGTAGATTATCTTAATAAAATTTTGAGTAATTTTAATTTATAAAATTGTCCCAGAATGTCCCAAAATGTCCCAACTCATGTCCTAACTGTCCCATGTACAACACTGCATATATATACACGCGTAATTTATTCTAATATACTATATACTTACTATTACTACAAGAATTACGATCTATGACGCAGTATTTTAATACGACCAGAATTACAACCTACATCAATATTACAAAAAAGTTGCAACTTCATTACAAATGGTCGTACTTAATTACTTCAATATAACTGCATCACTACACGAAACTTTGTTTCTGGATTCGAAGAACTCGCACACAGCTGCTTTTTTAGAAATTTAATGACTTATTTCTTACGATAATATCCTAACCACTACGGGATATTTATATTGCAGCTAGTAGAAGTCTGAAGTAACACAGTAACACTTGACTGAAATTAAGCCACTAAATTAGATTTTCATGTGTTAATTCTGGTCAGATCATACTTTAGAATTTAAAGTGGCTACTAATGATAGGTCACTGCTTCAGATACGTCATGTACTAGCGAAAACATCGTTTTCGCTAGTACTGGGATATTTTTATTTCAAGATCATGAGATATTTAGCCAAAATACCCTAATCCGCATGTGTACAAGCGGAAACTTCGTTTCCGCTAGTGCATGAATTTTATAGTTATGGGCACAATCTTATTGAAATTTCCTATTAAGAAAACTATGGTAGATAAGTATGGTATGGATGACCAGAGTTGTAAAATATGAGAATGCATAATACCTATTTTAAAAACCATATCATACTAATCTGCTATAGTTACTAACCCAATAATATACAATACCAGATTAATATGCAAACAGTACTGTATTTACCGTATCTAGAGAATAACAGTCTTTTTAATGTGCATTTCCAGTTTATACGTATAAATGTTTTTATACTGTACTATATGATAGGATACGTCCTTTTTTAATTCGGTTATTCCCATCGCTAGATATAAAATTTGTGTTGAAGTATACTTTGTCAAATAAACTGTTATCATTACTGTTTCATTATCGTACGTATTGAAAGCCATGGATAATAATGATAATAAAAATATAACAATACATAAACAATGGCGACCAATTCTAGGAGATGAATTATCTTTAGTGGAACCTAATGATTATGTTAAGCTTGGTGTTATCATTCCTAACCCAAGACTAACAGACATTGAAAAAAATGGAAGTATAGCTGAACTACTTCCATATATTCGTCAGAAAGTTAAAATGTGGGGAGTTGGTGTTCTTAGAGCCGAAAATATTAAGACTTTGATTGATAAAGAAGCTTTTAAAAATAATAAAGAAGCTTTTAAAAATAATAAAGATGATTCTGAAAATGATAGTGAAGATGATTCTGAAGATGATTTTGAAAGAAAAAATCAATTGTCAAGATTTGATTGCATTGCTAGCTTGCTTACCTCTGCTGAATGTACCGTAGTTCAAGATATTTTTCAGACTTTATCTCAATTTCCAATCACATTTCCTTTAATAACTCCCAAATTGAATGAAGAAAAGGAATTTAATGTGATGCTTCCTTTATATACTGGACCAGTCATAAAATGGGAATCAAGTCCTGGAACAATAATTGAAAACCGCCTTTTTAGTGATCCATTCAAATTAATCGTTGCCATTCGCATTGGAAAACATTCCCCAGGAAAAAGTACAATTCTTAATCGTTTAATGACTTCTGATTACATATTCTCTTCAAAATGTGATCCGGGTGCAAAATTTGGAGTTCCATATATGGTTAGTGGAAGTGTAGAGTTTACTTGGTTGACTCAAGAAACTTGTAAAATGGATTTATGGAACGAAGTTTTTAAAGATTATTATCAAAAAGAAGAAAAAGAAATCGTATTACTTGCAAATTTACATGGCCATGCCTTAGACTATCAAGACCAAATTCTATTTTTAAATCAACTGTCTTCAAGTTTCATAATTTTTATAATGCCCGATTATACAAAAGATCAAATAAATAACCTTGAAGCTCTAATCGGTTCTAAAAAAAATATATATGTATGTGTAAATCATAAAATCAAAAAAGGAATTGAGGAAAGAGATTGCATAATTATTAATACTGAAAGATTGATTGAAGATCGTACACTAGGCAGAGTGCGCAAGATGTTTAAAAAGGCCATAAATTTAAATTTTGATAGTGTTTCATTCAATATTGATGAATTGGAATTAGGAAAGTCACTTAAAATGGTTGAAGGAATAGAATATCCTGAGTCACAAGAGTTGATAAATTTCGTAAAGACAAAAACTTGTCAATATACTAAACTGAATATCATGCAACTTCAAAAAACAAATGAGAATCGTTCGCATACTTGGCAAAATAATGATGAATTGAATGAATTGGTAAGATTATATACTAACATACTTACATTACCTCTTGATAAAAGAAGAAGAGCTCTGGCACATATTGAAAGAGAAATATCCAGAATTTCTATAGAAGAGTCATCTAAATCTCGAAATAAAGCTATATCAAAAAGAATAGAATTATCTCAGTCTGGTTTGGTTGATAAGGATAAGGAAAGTGAAATGATTCAAAATGAAATTAGAAGCCTTTGGGAAGAAGTGGATAATAAAAGTTTAGGTTTAGAACATTTTTATCGTGTATTAGGACAATTATATAAAATTAGAATTAGTGATTTAAATGACATAAATTTTTTGAAACTACCTGAACTTTATGCAGAGTTATTAATTGGTGGTCACACTATAGAATTGCTAAATGGTGATGCAGGTACCATACCAGAAGCTTGGTTTTCAGCTATTTGTAATCATGTTTGTAAAAGGTTTAATAATCTTCGGGTTTATGTGATCAGTATAATTGGATTACAATCATCTGGCAAGTCAACCCTCTTAAATGCACTTTTTGGATGCAGATTTTCTGTTTCAGTAGGACGTTGTACCAAGGGTCTTTTCATGAGATTACTATTCTTAGAAGAAGATTTATGCAATCAACTCGGTGTAGATGCATTTATCGTGATTGATACTGAAGGTCTTGGCTCACTTGAAAAGATAGAATCAGAAAAGAATGATAGAATATTAGTAACGTTTGCGATGGGTATAAGTAATTTAACAATTATAAATGTACTCGGAGAATCAATGAGAGACTTGACAGAGATGTTACAAATCGCAATAGTTACAATGGCACGTCTTGAAAAAGCTGAGATTGCACCTGACATTAAAATGGTACAACATATTTCAGAACGAAATAAAGCAAAATTATCCGAACCAGAAGAAAATTTTCGTACAGCTCTACAGGAAGCTTTGAGAATAACTAAAGAACAAGATATGGAGATGGGAATATTTAATGCAAAGTGTCTTAAAATTCTTGATAAAAGAATAAAAGATGGTAAATTTCTTAAACAATTTCGACCATTTAAAAATGGGTCCACTGTACATGCGCCACCATCGGAACAATATCATGAAGACGTTGTTGATTTATATAATTCTATACTTGACGATTGCAAAAATTTACAAAGAAAATTTAAATTTAATGAATGGTATACAATAATGCAAAGTTATTGGGGTGCAGTGTCACATGAAGATTTTGCTGTACGTTTCAAAAATATCAAAGAAATATATAAATTTATTGAGCGTGGAAAATATATAGACGAAGTAAAAGAAGCAATCAGTAAGGCATTTTTAAAACATGAGGAACAAATCATGCAAGACATTCGGGCTAATCTCCAGGGATGTTCATGTGATGATAAATCAAATGAAAACTCGGATCTCCGTAGTCAACTTTTACAAATGATTGAGAAGGAACTAGAAAATATTATTTTTTACAAAATACAAAGAGCTAATGACTGTGAGGAGTGTAAAAAGGCAAACAATGAAATAAACAAATTTGATCAGTATCTAAAAGAAGAGAATAATCCAAAGCTTTTCACGGAATGCAAGCAAACAATCGACAATTATATTGAACTTAATCGTCGATCTGCATCATCAAAGCTTGTGCATATAGTAGAAGCTGGCTTTCTTCAAAAAGGTTATTCGTCACAATTTTTAAACACTATTAATAAAGCCTTAGAAGATATTAGAAATGCATCAAATAGAAAACTTTCTGATGATGAAATTGAGCCAAAAATTGCAGAGACCTGGGATTTGTTGCGAAATAATACATTATCAGCATACCCAGTCAAATCAGTAGAGAATTTAATATATCTTGAGGTCAAATCTATATACTCAAGTTGGTGGAATTCGCCAATTGAAAGTGAATACAAAAATGGAACACTTCCAGATTTACACGGTAATTTAGTAAAACTAGTTTTACAAAAACAAGATATTGATACTATCGAAGAAAGGCTTGATAATTTGACGGATTTAATTTTAAAGGGAAAATCTCAACATTTTTATAATGGAATAGTGAACGATCTCAAAAATAAAACAGAAGAAACGCTCTCTGATTTTGCAACCAGAACTATCCCCATTTTTAAACGTAATGCACACATTTATTCCTTATTGAAATTTAAACAAAGATTAACAGAATACCAGAAAAAATGGGATGAAGAACATCATCCACTTTATATACTTGATCAAAAAAAAGAAGAATACTTTAATATTATTAGAGTTCGACTTCAACATGAATCTACGCTTATTTCCGAAGCATATATTGTTGCAGACTATTTATTAAGAGTTATTCATAAAAAAGCAATGAAAGCAGGGAACCATGCACTAAAAGATGCGGTGAATAAGATTCCATGGATGACTAGTACAGAAACAGTTAGATTAAAATATTTTGAAGAGCTTTCTATTGAGGTTCAAAATGCCAATAAAGAAATTGCTTTAAATCATTTCAAAAACCCGAAATATCATATTGAAAATTGGTTTAAATTCACTGTTGATAACGCTGTAGAAGAAAATCCAGTGCAGAAATATAATGATGCTTATAGTAAAGAAATAAAACGAGTCTATCATGATATTTGTAACTGTAATGATTATAAAGAAATTGAATTATTTGTAAATAATTATATGACACAAGTTGACAAAATAGACTACAAATGTAATCTTGGAGATTCTATAATACTTAAAGATTTCAAAACTTTTAGTGACATTATTATAAAAGAGATTAATGACAAAATAAAGGAGATTGGTGACAATATGGATAATTGTTATTCAAACCAAAAAAATAAAGAACCGTTTCAAAAACTATCTGAAGATAAATCCATTATGAAAATGCTTGGATGCACTGAAAGTTGCTACTGGTGTGGTGCTTTATGTTGGGGATCTTTAGGTCATCACGAAAATAGTGATGATTCGAAAATACATCACGCCAGTCATCAGCCACGTGGTTTTAGAGGAACAAAGGACCAAGGAACAGGAGAGCTTATACCAATGGCATGCCATCAAATAATAGATGAAGATGTTTTGATGAAATATGACGTTTGGTATTATGGTAAAAAAGAACCGACAAGATGGAACACTGCAAAAGATAAAGATTTTTCAAATTGGAAATTTAAACCCCACTATAAGAAATTGTTTAATGATCTCATGTGCTGGTTCTTTGAAAAGTTGAATGAAGATCTGGCAAATTACTATGTATGTGAGCCGGTATCTCGTAACAGTTTAAAACGAAACGGTTGTCTAAATTTGAATTACGATGATATTATAAGTGAACTTAGAGAGAAACTTTACCCAACTCTCAATATAACTGAATACAACAATTTTCGTGCACTAAGAAATATAATTCAAAGCTTTATAGTTTCAGTTTTCAGGAAAAGGTTGGATTATTGAGCCAATTGAAATTTATATCAAAACTATCTGATATTATGTCGTTATTATGACTTTAAAAGTATTTCCATTATTCTGTTATTATGAATTTTTCGTTATTTTAAATTGTATATTTATTTATCGTTGAAATCATTATTACTGTCCGGAGTGTAGTGGAAAATTTTCATCTAATAGTCGCAACCCTAGCTGATTAGTGATATATACAATTATTGCCATAAAGCGTATACTTAAAAATCTTTTTCTTGTATAAAAATTTTTGGTAATGTAAACATAGTAAAAATAAAGTACAATCTAAATGTCAATACAATCGCTGAATATAAAAATGTGGGGTTTTAAATAATTTTGTTCATTCTCAATTTTTTTCATTATTGTCTCGAACAGTATAGTAATAACAGAGTTAGAGGTATAATACTCTACAGTATTCTTTTATTTTATATGAGATATTGTTACAATTCTGTTAGGATAGATTATTATTATTATTATTATTTTATAATATTTTAGCTTAAATTTATATTGTTTGAACAGTAAGACATTCAACCTATATTATAGAGTGCTAATTTTTGCTGCTTATTCACACATCTGATATGATTTCTAAAATTATTATTTCATTTACGGGTCACTAACTCCATGATCCACGTGCGTACGAGCGCATTTTATTGTGATTTCCTATTTGCGATTATATAAACTAATGCAGTAATGTATCCAACAACTTGGCTCTTTATACTCCTTCAAGAATATAAAAACACTTTAAACAAACAATTTACGTAGAATTCGGGTGCTAAAAATATATATATATATAAGCTGAACTTTTAATTTATTTGTAACAATAATGTACACACTATACAACTCGTACGTACATATGTAGATTTGACATATTTTAGATATATTATATAAATATTTACATGCTTAGATGCGAACAATATGAGCAGTATAAATAACTTTGGCAACTTGTGCAATAATAAGGAAGATTGAACCATTCCTGTGTGTAGTCATTACTGCCCGTGTAGCTCACAGAATTATCTGACGTGTAACTGGTTTCTTCCTGCGGTACGTGGCTGGTTGATTTGTCCAAGTCAGATTCAGACGCCACGTTATCCACGTGATGAATTTGGTCTGTAGGATTGACATTAAAGTAAAGAGAAACTTCAATGCTGGTATCTGATTGTGATGGATAACCTAAAAATATAAATAGAAATATATCAGGTGATTTCTCGCAGATTATTTACATTGAAAATTTTTTGTAACCTCCAATTATGTAACACATTTCCAAGTGTAAAATTTATAAGGCCGTTTGAAGTTGATATTTCGTTTAACGTTATTCCTCCTCCGTCTCCTGAATTCCCTCCCCCCAGATTAAACGGTTTTAGTAGAATTCGCCGACAGCCCTAGCTATAAATGGGCAGTCGGATAAATGATTGTTCGTCAAATTGGGTTATACCAATTAAACAAATAGTAGCGGTAGTACAGTCAGTCCTCCATAAAATATGCCCCTCTCGGGACTATTGAAATATGTATTTAGAGAGGATATTTATTTATAGAGGGAAAGTATAAAGCTTTTTGCATAGAGCGTGCATTTATAGGATGAACATTTATGAAGGACTGACTGTGACAAGTTAGTCGATACAGTATAATGATTATTAAGAGTTTGCAGCACATTTGAAAAATTTCGGTACACTATGTATTTATTTCTCCCTCTTGCACAATAAGAAAAAAAATAACGTTAAATGAAGTTTCAACTTTAACCAGTCTAATCATACTTTTGAGCGTTTCAAGCATCTTAATAGCTTTATCTAACGGTAAAGGATGATTAGGAAATGACACTTGCGTAGGGTCAGTTACTATTATAAATATAATATTAACAAATTAATAACATGAAAAAACCAGAGATGAGAATTTAAAACCGTACATACAATTTTCGTAAAAGGGTTGTGGATCAACAATTGAAGATTTTGTTTGCGAATAACGTTTTTTACTATTTTATTATGATAAGAATTTAGAATATTGCATAATAATAACAAAGAATGTAAACTAAAGTAATTATGAAGACCATCCTAGCGTCATCAACCTAAAAAATATCGTTATCAGCGTTAGGTTTACACTTGATTTTTGAAATTTGATTTTGCAGATTTTTAAATTAGTTACGCTAGGATAGTCCGGTATATGTGTATCTCATACCAAATTTCAGGAGTAAGCATATTTTTGTTCAAAAATTTTTCATCTTTTTTCTCAATTTTTTTACGTTTCATTGGAGTATGCTTACTGGCAGAACTCATGAAACTTTTTTCATCTTCTTTGCGTTTTATGGGAGTATTCTTGCTGGCAGAATTCATGAAACTTTTTTCATCTTTGCGTTTTATGGGAGTATTCTTGCTGGCAGAACTCATGAAATTGGTATTTTGGTCGTCTTGATTGTGGTTTAAATTTGACATGTTTAACATTACGAACAAATTCTATCTTTTATATAAAAAATGTCCAAAAGTTTTATAATAATTTTAACTTTGTTGCTATTACCCAAATAAATAAATGGCTTCGTGTTGATCTTTCTCACTTAAAGAAGCTACCTTTTTTGACGACTTGTACAACAAAAAAAAAAAAAAAAAAAAACGAGAAAAGCATTAATTACGTATCAATAGAATATATATGTCTGGTTATATCCTGATGTTAAAATGGAGAAATTTGAGGCACAAATCTTAAATTTTAGCTGCGTATTTTGTAAAGCACGTTGAACGAAATGAATAAGAATGCTTATTAATTTGATAAAGAACTCGACGCCAATTTTCTCATTTTGCCGCCTTTACCTAAAATGACAGGTCTAGATTAATGATTTATAATTTTAAATTAAAGTTTTTTACATTTACTTGTCAGTCAGACAGTATATACAATATAAGTCATGTTCACTATTATTATCCTCTTATGTCAATTCCACATTTGGTCTTATAGTTTTGATTTTCCGGAATAACTGTTTTTTTTTTTTCTAATCGCTACATGTAAAAAATGAAGTTTAATAAATAAATTGTTGTTAGCGTACTAAGTAAAGTTATCCGGAATATCAAAATACATATATCTTAACAATTTCATGTAAATCGAACAATTATTGTATATGTTGTAAGTGGGAATGGAATTAAGTGGATTTGGAATTTCCTGGTTAAATTAGGGTTAAGGTTAGGGTCACATATGATAAAATCAACCCAAAATGGGGTAATCAGAATCCACTTGCAACATATATACATACATATCTTGATATTTCTAATAATCCGTTAACATCATTTCTTGTGTTTTAGAATGCACTTTAGAATCTGGATTTTTATACTTTAAGAGGTATGTACACACGCACGTACGTACATACATAGCTTATTTCCGGAGTTTTGTTTCTGTTGGTTACACTATACATTATCTTATCACGTATCATGAAGTCCTTGTAAGGTATCGGTATATTTCTGTATTCTGTATTAGTCATGTCACAAAAAATTGGCAATGACGTGATACACAAGCCACTCATAAAAAAAAGTTTATAAAAAATTCTTAAGAGCCTTTTAAGATTCCGAATAATAAGTATATAAAATTAATAGCCTGAATATAAGTTACATGTATTTTACCGATGTAAATTTGATTGTAACTAACGTACGTACGTACGTACAGTACGTACGTAAATTACTTGTAAGTTAAGGGTAGGGTGAACGTAGATCATTTTTAATAGTAATCACATTGCAAATCAGACTTCCCCTGCAGCACCCACAAAATTTTTCCGGTCATGTGATGATCGTCACACAAAATTACTTTTTTGTCAAATGC